TAACTAACTAACTAACTAACTGACTACCTTACTTACTTACTTACTTACTTACTTACTTACTTACTTACTTACTTATGTACCGACTATCCTGAGCTCTATATAGTGCTTCGCTCGCAGTGCGGACACCGACCCCTAATCTTCCGCTAAAACCAGCTAAGCAAAATGTGGCCAAGGGCAACGGGGCCCAAACGGGCCCAAACCCTACAAAACCCCAACCAGTATGGTTTGGGCTTGCACGGTCTTCAAATCAAGGTTTCAGTTTTAGGTTGTACGAGTTTGGGGTTTCGGGGTTAAGAATAGCGCTTGTAGGTATTGGGGTCTTCAGCCGTTGTCTAACGGATAGCTCCAACCTTGTCGAATCGGAAAGCAGCAAGCTCTCAGGGATCAGACTTCTTACCAGCAACATCAATAGCCCTGAAAAGCCTTAAACCCTGATCATAACTACAAGTACAATAACCAAGCCAAAGCTATCCTGAACCTTGCGCGTCCCTAAACCTCGCAGGCACGTCCTCCATGTGAATGTAGCATTCTGGCAGGAAGCATCGTCACGGATGGCACCCCGCCCATTCTGCCCTTGCTCAGGGTATACAATCTAGTGAAACGATGCCTACACCAAGCTCCAGTACTTTAGGTCAATAGCCTCCGGTTTAGCCCTTGAGACTTTGCCCTGAATAACATGCTTGTGGTGAGGCTCGTGCGACACTGTCTCTGAAGGTACGACTTGCTTGAGGGCAAAGAGATTTCTTACCTTTGGGCATGTGGCCGTCTTACAAACAAACTCAAACTCGAAAAGGGACGGTTCCTTAAGATATACTGACAAGAGCCAGAACGTTGGTCCTTTTGAATTAGCCCAATTTCCCTTATCACGGCCCCATCTCGGGGCTATGGAAACAGGATCCTTTCATGGAGCCCGATGTCCCTATCTCACTGTGACTGACATGGTTAGGGTGTGTCGGCTGCACCGTTCAGTCTGGGCTGCAATCGCGCTGCTGTTGTATCCGATGATCTTTCCGGAAGAGATCTCCTCCGAGTGTTTCATCTGGTGTGCTCTGAGCTTGGAAGGACAACTGCACTGCATTCTTCGCAATCTGAATATGGATAGAATTCCGAATCAAAGAATGTCTCGGGATTTCGACAGCGGAACTATTTTGCATCGGACTCCTGCAACTCCTCGTATGCAACAACTTTTGCTGTCAAGGCGTCTCTTCCACTCATCTGGTAGCACTTCAACCGCCGATTGCTTCGACACCACAGACGCCCTCTGTAAACCACGACGATAACTGGAGGGATTTTCTTGTACACATCACTTCCAGCTAACAGCAACCTCGCAGTCGCACGGACATCCCGGCAGCAGCTGAAGAGAGGAGCCACGTGTAAATGCGTAAAATTCAGATCGCGGACTTCAATTGTCGCTGTCTTCGCCTTCCGAACCACCACATCTGGATCGTCAATGTTGTACTGGAACTCCCACTTGACAGAAGTCTGACTCAACATGCTAGGTCACAGTCTGCTCGTGACAATGAGACCTTGATCCAGAATTTCTATGACAGTTCTAGAAATAGGAAGGCAATCCGGAACCTTAAACCCAGAAGCCCTGAACCCTAAGCCCTAAACACTAAACATTCTCGATCTCCGAACCCTAAATACTAAAACTCTAACAGTATCACCTTAAACCTGCAACCCTCAACGCATAAACCCTAAAGCCTGAAGGCCACTCGGACTGCTACTTATAATGGTGCTGTGTAAAATTGGCAGCCGAGGGTACACCCAAACAAGGCTCCACATATTCGGGACCTGTAATGCTACCCTAGGGCCCTAAGAGTCCAGATGTTTAGTGGTCTACTGTTCCCCACACTGCTAATGAGCGTTATAGTATACTCATACCCCAGTAGCCCACTATGTTATTGGGCTTTCAGAAAGCTGGGGCTATGACCTTATTCAATGGCCGTCATCCCACAGCCTGAGGAGGAGAATATCGGGTCTCAGATTCTAATCGGAAACCCTGCCAGGGTTTTGAAGGTCTAAACCCCGACCCCTATAGCCAGGACCGAACACCTGAAACCCAAAGCCCTAAACACAACCCTAAACCCTAACCCTGAACCCTCTGCTCATAACTCAAAACCCTAAACCTCTAACTCCAACGCTATGTCCTAAAAACCTCATCAACTCGATCACACCAACACTTACAGCACAGTCTCCTGGCGCTACTCGCCTTGGACTTTCAACGGCAGCTCGCCAATGAGGATGATGTTCCTGCAGGGCTTCAGTGTACAAGGCTTTCGCGTATGGGGCTGTAAACTTTAGGGTTTCAGTGCGTGTGATTTCGGGTGTCACGCTTTCCGGCCTTGGGTCCAGGAGATCAGCTTTCGAGGCTCTGTGCTTCATGCACCCGGAACTAGAAGATGCAGCACAACCTTATGCACCCTTCTTCCCAACTTTTGCCCTAATCCCCGAACCCATAAACCCTAAACCCGTGCGCGGAACTCACATCCTACACCCGGCCCTGGTCTGATGGAGACCTCCTCACGAAAGGTCGTGAGACCCTTTGATAAACCAAGCAAATCCCCCTACACTCGAAAACCAACAAGCATACCCTTAAGTAGAGCCAGGTGGCCTCATCGAGCCCTAGCCTGAACCCTGAACCCTAGAAAGAAAACGGCAGGCCTCATGGAGTATGTCTCTGGAAAGGTCGCCAGCTTCAGCTGAATAGAGGTTCCCAACCTCTTTTCAGGTCTGTGGGGAGGTCTTGAAAGCAGAAACCCCCTAAACTGTAGAGTGAGAATACAAAACCATACCAGTACTCAAGGACTACTGAATCCGAAACCTCTGAGCCCCTAAACCGGAACTCACAAGAGATCTAAGATAGGGATATGAATTACAAACAAGAGCATACGCTTAAAGTCCCTTATAAAACCCTACTAGAATATCACCGAGGCGCCTCACTCAACCTTATAAAGCCACATGAAACCGATCTTCCCGGATTCTTCCAGGGTTTGAAGTCTTGACGTCATTCCAGAAGGGTTTAGTCAGTTTCTGCACAGGCTTGCAAAGGTTTGGGTAGTTCCTTAATGTTCGGGATCCTTCTTTGGGTGTCCTATCACCTTAGGCTTAAAGCCACGCTGACCTGGTTTCCAAAACTCCCATTTACATCTCTACGCTTCAATTTCCAGCGAAACCTGCTCACTGGATCTGTCTCGAAATCTCCTTGCAGCGCCAGACAGAAAGCAGGAGAGCGAGAGAGAAACAGAGAGAGAGAGAGAAGGAGAGATATCGAAGGTATGGGACTTCTTAGTATACGGGAAGGCAAGATGGGATCAAAGTGTTTACAGTTTACACAGGGTCCGCTTACGACCACACTCAATCCTGAGCCTGAGGCCTTAAACCCTAAGCCCCGAACCCTGAACCCCTGAACCCTAAACCTCAACCCGAAAACCAGCTTCTGCTCTCAAGCCTCGGCCCGCCTGCAAGCGCTTCAACGCCGCAGGAGGCTTCGGGTTTAGGGCCTTTAGGGTTTAGAGTAAAAGGATTCGGGTTCAGGGGAACGACGGCATCCCTTTTTCAATGAACGCTTTCAAAACGAAACGCGCTATCCTCTTCCGGTAGAATGCTGGCAGAACACCCCGAACCCTGAAAACCCCAAATTTTAAGTCACCACCACCGCACCCTTACAACAACTCCTTACGAAGCCCTTCGACAGCTTTCATAACACCCTCTTCGCCTTCAAGGACCCATAAACCCTAAACCTAAGCTCTAAACCCTACACCAATTAATCCTAAACCCTGAAAAATTAGAAATAAACCCTAAACCCTGAAACTTACTTAAACCCTAAACCCTGAGCCCGACACCCTGGAACCCAAATTTCCCTAAAACCTAAACCTTGAACCCCATAAACCCTGTAAGCACTGCAAACCCTAGACCTAAGCCCTGATGAACCCCCTAAGCCCTAAACCCAAACCCTGAACCTAAACCCATAAAGCCCAAAACTCCAAAGCCTACATCCTATAAGCCCCAAAGTTGAACCCCCAAACCCTATCAACCCGGGATCCCCCACCTTAAACCTTGAACCCTAAGCCCTAAACCCGAAACCCTAAACCTTAAACCCTGAACCTCCAAGCAAGGGCCTCTCCAAGGATCGGAGCCGGAGCGCTGCGATGGCCTCCAGGGCGCGGCGGGCGACGCTGCAGCCTGAGATGCGGGTTTAGGGTTTACGGCTTAATAAAGTCTAGGATTTAGGGCTTGGGTTTTAAGGTTTAGGGTTCGGGGTTTAAAATTTAGGATTTATAGGAATTGGGGTTTAGTGTTTAAGGTTTAGGGTTCAGTTCAGGCTTTAAAGTTTAGGATTTCGGCTTGGGGTTGAGCGTTTAAGGTTTAGGGTTTAGGCAGCCTGCAAAACCGATGGCTTTGGGGGTTTCAGGCCTTTTGGGGGACCTAGGTTTTAGGCCTAGGGCTCCGAGGCTTCGAACTTCAGAAAGTTTAGGGTTAAGGGTTGAGGGTTTAGGGTTTAGGGCTAGTGCATGAGGGGTTCGAGGCAAGATGCAGGTTTGGGCTTGCAAGGCACTGAGATCCCAGGTCTCGGCCTTAAGATTTAAGGTGAGTCGGGACCCTTGAAACCCAAAGGCCTTGCGGACATGGCGGGATCTGGGCTTTGGTATGGTGTGGCAAAGCTTTAAATATGTCGTAGGACTTGCGAGAAGGATCTGTGCTGTGGGCTCAAGATCTTGGATGAAACCCTGAAGCCCTTGTGTATGGGCTCCACATCTTAAACACTGTAAGACCCCAACCACCAAACGCTAAAATGGATCCCGGACATGGACCTAGAAAGTCCAAACCCTGCAACTCGACACCCTGCGTCCCTACACACAACCCTTGAATCTAAACCTTAAGTAGATCCAACATGCCCTATAATCACAAGCCCTAAAATCATAAGCCCTACTAGCACCATATACCGTATAAATAAAGCATTGGAAATTCTACAACCACTATAAATCCAAACCCGACAGAACTAAACTTTGAAACATCTCAGCACCCCAGTTGCGATCGCGCTCTGCCAGCTGCCGCAGAATCAAGCCGACCTCAAGACAAGGGTTTATAGATTTTGGGGATTGTATACTTCCGACGGCAGGGTTGTATATGGGTTCTGTGCAGGTTTTAGAAGGGTCCTGGACCATTTGTGTATGGGTTCTGCAAGGGCCTTCTCGGGGTTTTAGACGGGTTCTACAGGGCCTTTGGCTTTATGGCTTTATAATGCCAGGTTTCATTTTACCTGATGGCTCAATGCTTTTGGAGCTCGGGGTTTATAATCGTGTTAGAAAACGGGTTGCTTCCGTCCAGGAGGTACTTAGGCAATTTTCAAGTTTAAGGCTTTCAGGCTGTGGGGCGTTGTTAGGTTTAGGGCTGTAGGGTTTAGGGCCTTTGCGGCCAAGGTTTTAGAGTGCGGCGTTGACGTTTCGTTTGTTTCTTTTTGCATGTAAGGCTTCAGCATCCCACAGTACTACTGACAGTACGATAGACCCCTCCAAAGACTCTACTACAGTGCCTGAGTAATAAATAGGGTTCTGGGGCATATTACAGCGTATAACTTCGGAACAGTATTAATAATTATTCTATCTTCCATATTCAACTGTCTGTAAGCAATCCCACGGCCACTACCTCCGGGCAGAGCGATGCCCAGCCATCGGCCGGTTCCAGCGCGGTGTGCTTCAAGTGACAGCAGGGGCAAACGAGGAACGCGATCTGCGAGCTTTTCAGAAGACTGCGAGCTTTAATAAAGTCGAGTGGCTTGGACAAGTCTTTATGGGGTGCTCGGGGGGGGGGGGGGGGGGGGNNAGGGTATCTTATTGAAGTGCACGTATAGTCTACGTGTGATAATGAGGAGTTGAAGTGTTTGGGGGTTTCGATGTTGGGATCCCCCATGTTCTGAAACTCTCGTTCATTTGAGGGGCTTTATGGGGTCTGCTTGGAGGCTTTTGGCCTTAGGGTCGAAAGCTTGGGGCCTAGAGTCGGCTGTGAAGGTGGCCGTATCTTTGGAGCATTTCAGACGAGTTCTCCGCGAACCCAGAGGATAGATAGTCCAAGCCCTATAGAGCATAAACCCTCGCAGAAGAGGTGAGCTTACTGTTCATCTTGCAAACCTGCTCAGTTGTACTCAGGTTAAAGCTTTTGCAGGTGAAGATGATTCGTGTACCTGGGGCTCAGGTTTCCGGCCATGTTGCGTTTAGGGTCTAGGCAGGACAACATACCGCTCTGTATGGAGCTGTTCCTCCAGAGCCAAGCTTGGAGATATCTTTACAATACAGATCAGACGCACCTCGTGTAAGCACCGCAAAAGTTCGCTCAAGGTTGAAATTCTCAAACTGAAGAAACAGAAGACTTGACCTTCTGAGCTAATGCACCTGACGGCATGCGGCAAAGCCCAAAGCAGCATCACTGAGCCCACCGCAAGCCTGGCCAATCGCTGCTGCAGACGCAACTTTTGGATATGTTTGGATATGTTTGGATGGTTCAAGGTTTTACAGGTGAGGGCTTGCGTCTAAGGTTTTGGGGTTCAGAACTCGGGATTGAAAACACAGAGTAACTAGCGTCTCACACCATGTCAAAGAACGGAGAGTGTAGGACCGCAATGGGGATATCACTTACAATGCAACAAGAACATGTCAACATCCACAGATTAGCAGCAGCCGCTATGAACCACGAAATCAGTCCGAGCACATGCCTGTTACCTCAAACCCGAAATGCGTACAAATGCCAAAGCCCTGAAGGCCTCGAAGTGGATTCCAGATGTGTCGGTGTAGGACTTAAGGTTTAGCGCCCCCCCCTCCCACAAAAGATGTAATGTAAGACAAAGGTCGTGCAGGGCCACAAGCAAATCCACGTTCCGCAGGTCGTCCTGGCAGTTTAGTAGTTCTAGGGCTGCTGGACTAAAAAGCCGAAACATCAGCCTTGACCCCATCTATACCCTTAAAAACCCAGAACCTAAGCCTTATGCCCACAACCCTACACCATATCCCTAAACCCTAAAGCAAGAAGACCACACAAAATCTTGAAACTCGGAACATGCCAAGCAAATCCAGCCCTTAAGCCCGCCCCCCAAAAGTAAACACACCTGCCCCCACCGTCCTGCTTGTAGACGTCGCGGAAGTCCATGCAGAGGAACGTCACGTCCTCGGCTTTGGGGGTTCGGGGAGTCTAGGGCTTTAGGGTAAAGTTTTGTTGGACTTAGGGTCCATAGAGATTTTATGGAGCTTTAGGGCTATATAAGGGTTATTGGACTTAGGGTCCACAGAGATTTTGGGGCTTTAGGGCTATAGGGTCCATCGAAATCGAGATTTGATGGCTTTACAGGGTTCACCTGGTGAGTGCAAAGCAACCCTGAGATTTCGAACCCTCTATCGACTTAGAGTCCACAAGGGCTTAAACTTCAGGCCTCGGCTGAAAACCCTGCGTGCATCCCACAGGCACTCGATGCCTCTATATGCATCTCAACCCCACATCAGCAACTTCCAGTGGCAGCTTGTGTTGAATTCACTTCGAATCGTCGAACCCGTGCAAACCCTAGACGCCAAACCATGAAACTCAAAGCCCTCAACCCCGAACCCTCCAAACCCCCATCTGCAAGACACAAGTGGCGACGCCGGCCCTCTCAGCTGCACTCTGCCCGGCTTTTAGTGAGGAGGCATTCCTTAAGGTTCGGAGTTGGGGGGTTTGGGAGTTGCATGGCTTCGTGCTAGGGTTTAGGACTTAGGGTTCTGCAGTCGATGATTTTAGGGTTTATGGTCTTATTATTCAACCTCAGTGGTTACAGCTCATGTGCCTAAACCCTGACTCAGAGTATACTTACGGCTCAGGGCGCCCACTGCTAGAAAGCGATGAGACAGCAGTGATTAGGATTTGGGGGTTTCTACAAGTCTCTCCTGGGATCGTGAGGAACTTTACCCGTTTGAGACTTGGCGCTTGTTCAAGCTACATGTCCCCAAAGAGCCATCAGCTTGGTTGGTCTTTTAAGTCAAGATCCGCATTTCCATGGTCCTCGAAACGACCTTTAGAACAACCCGCCAAACCGTAAGCCCCCAAACAAATCGCGACAAGCCCTATACGAACCCTCTAAGGCCCCCTGTGATTCGGAGGCTTTGGGGCTGTCAAGTTTCGAAGTTTTATCGTTCAGGACTCGGGAATAAATAGCTGCAGGAGTTTCAATGCCTCAGGTAGGAAGCACGCCGGTCTGGTTCACAGAAGGATCATGCGACTTCTGCTGGCTGACTGTGGGGGCTTTAGCCTTTAGGATGTCCAGTCTGGAGCCTAGGATTTAGGCCGTGGGTCTACGCTTGGGCACAAGGTCTACATGACCGAATTCGCTAGCTTGACCAGTGCAGCGCACTCGACAGCAGGTGCAAAGCTTCGTTCATGCCTAACGTCTGCGATCTGCGTTTAGATATCAAGTGATGAAACATGTAGCCTCCTAAACCCCAGGGTCCTAAACCCTAAACGTTGCAGAGCTGCATGTCCACCACCGTAACCTGCAAGGTCAGAAGTCACGCACCGGAGTTTTGGAAAAATCACTCTTACGACCATCTAGGAATCCTGAAGCAAGCTTGGTTTTGGTTTTTAGTCTTGGACTTAATTCGGGGCTCAGGTGGAGGGCTACTGTGAGGTTCTTACACCGCAGGCCTCAACTCGCGAAGTAGCACTGGCAATTCCCCAAATCCCAATTTAGGAGAGAGGCTTTCGGGGTCTGACATCTTCTCGCTAAGCAGCTGCAATCCGCTTTAAAGCCGTCAACTGATGCTGATCGCCTAGACCCAAATACGATTGAAATCCTAAATGCTACAATGAGAATTTCAATCGCAAGAAGCCATTCGAAAGAACATGAGTTACAACACCCGGAATCCTGACCTCTGCACCCGGAATGCTGACCTCTGAAGCCCGAAAGCCCTAAATCTGACCCGCCGCCAGAAAAGGACGTTGAAGCACATATGTCCACAAGAAAGAAACGATGCATGTATGCATCATGCATGTATGAAGTATGTATGCATGTATCTATGTAAATGTGTGCATGCCCAATCTCATATTCTATAATAGTTAACTAACCTTATGGGTTTAGCCGTTAGGCCCTTCCCATCCGCTGCCCAGGCTGCCTTCACACCGAGGTGTGCTGCCATGTTGATGGCCAAGTCACCCCGGCCACCACCGACATCGAGGATGTGCCGGAAAACCTCTCCGGGCCGTTGCTAAGCTTGCTGCTGTTACTGCTGCTTCTCTGCTGCGGGAGCTATTCTACGAAACTGCAAAAGCCTCGAGTTTTTGAGAAAGCATGCCTCACCTCGGAACCCTAGAATGCATGGAATCCCAATTCACCCTGGACCCTAAGCTCCTGAAGCCCGAACCCTGAACGTCCTTCCTAGATACCGGTTAGAACCCGGAAGATATGAAACAAGAAAGCCGAAACCACCCTCAAATACACACCCTGAACCCGAAAGACAGCGTATCAAGCCCTGTCAAAACTTTGTACAACAGGAACGTATCGAAACTAGAAAGCTTAATGTAATGTAATCTTCATGAAACGCCCTAAACCCAGAACCATTATCAAGAAATGCATAAGGCCCAGCAGAAAGGCAGTGTATAAACAAGAAAGCCTGGTCTGACCTTCATTCAAGGCCCTATACCCGAATCCGCGGGAACAAAGACGAATTCACGAGGCCCTGATAGAGCCGGTGTACTCATGAAACCGAAACCGAAGCCCTAAAGTTGACGGATGCTTGAGTCTCTCCAGTTTAGAGTCTGGGGTTTAAGGTTTAGGGTTTGGGCTTTGAGGCTTAGGGTCTTTAGGGTCCGGCCTGACCCTGTGCCCGGAGAGCGGAAAGGCGGCGGAGAATCCAACGCACCTGGGCCGGAATCGGAATCGGCGCTTCGGAAGGGCTCTACCAAGGTTCTGGTACCTGCTAGTTTAGGGTTTATAGGGTTTCGGGGTTTAAGGTTTAGGGCTTAGGGTAGTGCTTTCTGGAGTGTGTATGTGGTGTTTCATAGGGATGCAGGGTTACCGGGTCGAGGCATGAAAGTCCACCATCAAGCCTTTAGGGTTGGGGGCTTTGGGTTTGGGATGTAGGGGGTGAAGGCGGGGAAGTCCAACTCCTCCTACTGTAACCGTCCTGAAGCAAGGGGAATTGTTGGAATCGCCGTCGTAGCGCTAGAACATCGGACTTCGCAATGGCAATACCGAAGGAAGCTAAACTAATGTGAGCAACCCTAAACCCTAATACATAACCCTGAAACAGTCGAAACCCCTCAAACCGGGGACTGCCTATGTGCATGAACAGCTTCTGCGTTTACTTGGTCGTATGTTCTTCAGTCCGAAACCCCTGACCAGAACAGTAAGAGCCAGGATCGGATAAAAGAGTCGCAGTAGAAAACGAATGATATAATAACAACGATGACAATAGCAGTAGCAACACTACTTTCACAAAACAAATCCTGCAAACCTCCTGAACCCTGAACCCCTAAGCCCCGACCCATCGCTTGCCCGCCCTAAACCCTAAATCCTGAACCATCGCCCGCCTGCGGCCACTTCCGTCCGTGGAAGTATTCGCCCCGAGTTTGGGGACCCCGGGCGCTCGGAAGATCTGGAGCGACGTCCAGCCTCACTCTGGGGGGTTTCAGGGCTCAGGGTTTAAGACTTGCATGGGGTTGAGGGTTTGCGGGTTCAGGGTTTAGGGGTTTAGGGTTTAGGGGTTTTGGGGGTTTCAGGTTGGGGTGCGGGGTTTTGGGTTTCGGAGGTTCAGGGCTCGTGGGTTTCGGATATGAGGTTTATGGATTGGAGTTCAGCTTGGGGTTTCTGCTGGTTCCGCCTCGGGGTTCAGGCATAGGAAGCCAAGTGGCATGGGTTCAGACTCTCCAAGCACATGATGGAAGTCCTCCGCACGGTGCGTCTTCTAAACCCTCAGCCCCTGAACCTCTGGCCCCAAGGCGTCCTCGAACTCCCGAGACCACCCTTTGAATTAAACTACACTATCCCTGTAGGGCTTAGGGTTAAAGGTCCTCGGAAGATTCCTCCCAACACTCGATGGGAGGAGCCGGAGCTGCGAGAGACTCCGCCTTCTCCAACGCCTGGCACGGAAGAAACAGGTTGAGTCTACCTTTACGGCGTCGTCACAAGGCTCTGTAAGGCTTTCGGCTTTGGGCACGTGGGTTCGCGGGGTCAGGGTTCTGCGTCGTGGAACATGGCTCGGGGCTGGAGGTTCAGCGTTCAGGGTGTAGAGTTCAGTAAGTTATGCCAAAACCGGACAGGCCCATCCTGTTCTCACTAACTTACCAACCACAAGGACGATGGCTCAGACTCCATGCAAGCCCTCTCGCCCGTGCCAAGGCATTCCATCCATGATTGAATCGTGGTCGTAATTGACATCAGCGATGCTAATAATCTCATTGAGGTCGGGTGCCGTTGGGCCCTCATATCTCTTGCGGCTCGTGATCTACGTATATCCGTCGAATCTACTGCACTTTGGCGTCCCCTTCGCAAGATTGATTCTCAGTTTTGCAACACACTGACGGGACAGCTGAGTAGACCTGCATCCCTGTCATGACATCGTGGCTGCAATGGAGATTTGGCCAGGGTATGGTTTGGGAACACTCGGAGGCGGGAGGCGGGGGTAGGGGGCGGCATGGAGTCTTTGAGAGGTGTGCAGAGTGAGACTAGTGGCAACATGAAAGCAGTTTTGACAAGATCAATCCATCTGCGCTGTCATCGAGGCCTTAAAGACTGCACCTTAAGCTTCTGAGCCCTATAAGCCCTGACACGAACACCAGACTGAGGGCAGCTAGCTGTTGAAGCTTGGTGCGGTCGAGGGCTTCTGAAAACGAAAAATGTTGAACAAACTCCAGAGCTATGAGGTCTAGGCTTTGTGTGTGTCTTGTCGGGCTCAGCTTCGGAATACGGGCGTCTGGCTTGGGAACTCCACCAGCCAACCTTTCCACTACCACTAGAATCACTAAACCATACTAAACCATGAAGGAAATCCAAGTCTCGAATGTGTTGACACAGTATTTCTGAACGAAACGATGTTCCAATCCCATATCAGCTTGCTGTTTTGAAATCCTGTGGCAAACATTGCATGCAATTTCAGCAAGCAAAGTCCAACACCCAGAGCACCGCAAGCTACCCACTCGCTGGAGCCTAAACAACTGAAGCACTAAGGACGGATCCTGCAACAAAACTTTGAAGCAAGACACCGCTACAATGGCGGATGGTTTCTGTTCAGTAGCTACATTAGGCAGCGAAGGAAACATCTTCATTACTACCTATTCCAACATTACATTTCGCTGAACATCTAAAACCACAAACCTCCGCAGGCCTGTCAAAATTTGATTCCCTGAATCCCTAGATTCACAGTAAATGGGAGTCTCAGAAAGTAAGGGACCCGAATATCTCTGAAGAGCAGAATACTTGACAAGAGGACCCCTAGATGTGTTACCCCTCGTTTGAAAAAACGGTATAAACCTTACAATTGGAGAAACCCCAAAAAAATCTTGATACTGCTTTTATAAAGCCCAGAGAGCCGTGTAACCCCCCACCCCTTCCCCAAAATTGGCCTGCAACTCGGACTTGGTCACACGAGCCTGGCGCTCCGTGCTTCGAGGATTCCGATTGTAAGAAAATCTGATGAATAACGAAATCAAGCAGAAAATGTGGAACATAAACCCAACCGCGATATGGGACCCAAGTAGAGACTCGAAACAGCTGGATCCTTCGCAGAAAAACCCTCCCAAAAAGGGACCACCACTCAAACAGAAACACTTCATGAAACTCTTATAAAACCCTGGACCGCTCTTTAACGAAACCTAAAATACGCTACACCACGCTGTAAAAAGGGCTCTATACAACCCCGTGAAGCCCTGAGACCCTGGCGAGCCGAAATCCGAAACGCCGAGAATCCCAGCCTTCCGCTGGCGAGTGCTGGGTGCAGCTTGAAGCTCTCGGGCCAGGACTTCATCGCCTGCCTGCAAAAGGGCTTCAAGGGCTTAGGGTTAAGGGTTTAAGGATTCAGGTATTCTATAGGGTTTATGGGGAGTTTTTTTGTCCAGCCTCTGTGCGTTGCTGTAGTATGTTGTTTTCTGTGGTGTCATTGCCGTTCGCTTTTCGGGCTGAGGGCTTTAAGATGTAGGACTGAAGGTTCGAAGGCTTGTAGCTTTGGATTGCGTTCGTGCTCCGAGCCTCGGGGCAGCAGGAATCAGGGCTCATAAGCTCTGGGCCGCAATGGCTCGGGCCTGCGGTGACATGTTCCTTTGTCTGGTTTTGTGCTCGGGGGGGTGGGGGAGCGCCGGGGCGTGAAATTCGAGGGCGGGGGTTCAAGCTTGCCAAGGCTCGAATGGCATGGTTCAGGGGTATGGATCGGGGCTTGAGGGGTCGTGACGGCCAGAGTTCTTGTTGCGACATCACCCACTAAATCCTAAACCCTCGTCCCTAAATCCCAGGTCCTAAGCCCTAATGCTAAGCAGCAATGCCTGGACGATGAGCGCCTGCTGCCGGAGCTCCTTGCTGGAGTGCTAGTTGTAAGTTTAAGTTTAAGGCAGGGCTGGCCCTTCCTTAATGCTCGTGCCTCTAAGCCAGTCGTGACGCTGCATGACAAATCCAGATTCGGCCTCGACCTAAACCTCGCAACAGCAACAGAACAAGCTGAATGCTCGGCATCCCCGGCCCAAGCCGAAACTTCAAACCCCGAAGCCCTACAATGACCCTTCCCCTGAAAGCAGGAGCTGGTGTTTAGTTTAGTTTATGGCCTTAGCCCCTGAACTCTCAATGCTCACACCCTGAACCCCAAAACCTCTGAACCCTAAACCCCCAAATTAAAGCAGACCCTGTAACCTCAAGCTTCAGGACCGCTCTAGGCCACTGATAAGCCCTAAACCCTAAACCGCTCTTGGAGCCCTGAATGTCCTTTCTGTAGGTCGCAGCTTCTGCGACGTCCGCACGAAGTCGGACGAGTTCCTTGGTTTTTTGGTGTGTTGAGGTTTAGAGGTCGAGGGGGTTTGGGTTGTATAGGCAGTTTGTGCTGTAGGAGCAGGGGACGTGAAGGGGGTTCTTCTACCATCATGAGTCGGGTAGCAAAAACATAAGTACATAATATACTACTACAGAATGCCCGGTTACAACACGCCCCGAAAGACATCAACGTTGTCGTATAAGCACATTGAAGATCTAGGGTGCGCGGCCTGGGTTTTGTACTTCCAGCTTCGGCACAACAGAAAAGATCAAGGATTCAGAGGTTGAGCCCTAAACCAGCTAAACAAAAGGAGTCTGACAGGCTTGGGCTTGGGCCTGAAACTCCTGTCTCGATCTCGGAATGTGGACACTCTCCAAGCACAAACTCTAGACCCCAGAACCCTGAAGTCAACCTCAACCCTGAAGCAGAGGCCGAGACAGGGAGATGAAAGGCCCCACATTCTCTATAACTCCCTGCTCGGGTCTTGGAGGACCTAAATACTAAACTTGCCTGCAGTCCTAGCCCGCGCTCCAAAACCCGAACAACACAAGAGCTCAACAATTCGGCTTGAGGCACCGCCAGGCGCTCGTCCGTGCAGCACAGGGCAGTGGCGACTTCACAGCCTGTTGCGCTAAGGCTCGAGTGCATCGGAGTTTCGGGGATGTGGTGCCTGGGAGTCATGTGTTTCCCTTCTTCGTTGTTGGTGCTGCAGCTGATGGACAATTTGCTGACTTTGTCGGTTTAGTTAACTTCTTGAAAAGTCTTGAGGCTCCGTGTCTATTGAGGATCTCGGAGATTCGGCAATTTTTCTCGGTGTGCGGTAGTAGTTCAGGAATCTTGACCATCGAGTATCAGCGTGCGATCCGAACTACTTCTCACTGCCTGGAGCCAGGCCATCAGCGAGCGCGTCCAGAACGTTGGAAATCTGCTTGGAGTCGGCATGCACCTTCAAAAGTAGTAGTAGTAGTAGTAGTAGTAGTAGTAGTAGTAGTAGTAGCAGCAGGAGTAGGAGTAGGAGTAGGAGTACTGAGTAGGAGTAGTAGTAGTAATTGTAGTAGCGGCAGAAGCAGAACAAGGAGTAGCGCTGCGGATTTAAGTAGTAGTCCCTGCCATCGTCTTTTATGGCTTGAGTCTGATCACCCCGAAATCGAAACCGCACATCCGATCGTGTAAACAGCAGCTCTCGGTGGTATCAAGCGGATTGAAGTCCAGCTCTACCCTACCTAAGCCAATATTACAAATCATGTTTCAAATTAAACCTTAAGTGCACCTTCAGAAGCTTCAGCTCCCGCGCGTAGAGAGAAAGGGATCCTCCGTCACAACTTGCACTCTGACTGACTGCAGCTGTGGCTTCGGAGTTTAGGGCATTCTGGGACGAGGGGTCCGGGGTTAAGGGCTACTGCTCCGGGTCTTTAGCGAAGCGAAGGATTTAGTCTTGTTGCTTACTGAGGGTTGCGGCCGAAATTGTTCTTGCGGGCACCTTTTAAGGCTTTGCTTTCAAGAGTCGTCGTCTTGCAAAGCCGAAACCGAATACACCGTAGAATACACCCTGCACTCTAGCAAAGGACATGGCTATCACTACAAAAGTTTGGTGGAGCCCCAGTTCAAGGGGTTTGGGTCCTCAAGAACAAACACCCCCGCAACTCCCTGCCCCCCCTTTTCCCCTCCCCCCACGCACACCCGTCACCCCCCTTGCAGTCACCCCCCTTCACAACCTAAAACTGAACAGCCAGAAAGGACCAAACGCGCTAACGGTCTGCTACCGGCTTCGCACGGGTGGGGACCTATGTGAGGACCTAGTAACCTAGTAATTGCGGCCTCGTTTGGTTGCTTTCTAACAGCACTCCTTCACAATGCGCGATATTGTGACAACAGCAACACCTCCGATCCTAGGCATCCAAACTAAGCACACGCTGTGCTACACCCCAAATCCGAAATCCGAAAACCTCAGCCAGTGTAAGGTAGGCCTCCGAACCATAAGCTCCAACGACACCAAAGCCGTCAGTGCTGCTACCCTAAACCCCCTGCGCCCTGAACCCTCAACCCGCAGCGCTCAACTCCACACCCAACTCTGAACCCTAAACCCGAAACCCTAAACCCTAAAATAGAAAACCCCAAAATCCCAATTTTATAATCCCTTAACGTGAACCCTAAACCCAAACCTTCACCCCAAACCCTAAACCTCAAGCCCTGAACTCTGATCCTTCGCGATCGCAGCCCGGATGTCCGATGCACCACACGGTCGAGCCGAGTCCCGCCGGGAGCAGATGCAAAGCTGGCGAAGGGCCTCGAAGGAAGGGGTTTAGGTCGCTTTAGGGCTTTTTTAGTTTAGGTCGGTTTAGGGCTTTTTTAGTTTGGGTTTAGGGTTGGTTTAGGTTTAGGGTTTAAGGTTTAGAGTTTACGGTTAGGGGTTTAGGAGGAGGGGGGTCTTTTCGGCTTTCATAGAGTTTCGAGTTAAATTGTTCAGGGCTGCGGGTTCCGTGTCTTGGTCTGTTCTTTGACTTTTCTCGCGTTTGGTGAGGGTTCTGGAGGATCTTGTAAGGGTTTCGGACTGACATAGGGATCTGGCATTGAATTTAAACTTAGGGGTTGGAGCATGAAACTGCGGGATCAGGATGTGGAGAGTAGGGTTTGGGCTCTCCACCATGATCCCACATCGCCATCCCAGACTCTACCGTTCTGAAGCTCGTGTGCGTGTGGTGCCTGCGCCGTCGTTCAACGCCGCTGTGGGTGCAGATAGAACCACCTGAACCTGCGCGAGTCGCTTGCGCAAGTGCGGCCTACCTTTGGCATGTTTTGCGGGTGATATGGGTGCCCCTCTGCCAGAGGTGCGTGTATGTGTATGTGTGTGTGTATATATATATATGACTGACCTTACATATGTATACATATGAGAGCCTGCACCTCACCCAGCTGCACCATCAGGAACCTGGGAGGGGGTGACTTTGAGGGTCCAGGGGTTTCTTTGGGTTTGGAGTTGGTGGCTCGGGCTTGGGAGTACTGAACTTCTACACCTGAAACGACCTCTTGAAAGCCAACATGAACCCTTACAAACCCTATAACGCCCCTTGCAAATTGCGAAGGCCCTTACACACCCCACGTACAGTATGAAGCCTTTCTAGCGACCGGTTTGGCCCTTACACCCGAAAAGCTCTAATCGGTAAGATCCTTTGACACCCAATACGTGAATTACACACTATCCAAAGAGCCAACCTGGGAAGCGCGAAGTAGAGCCCAATATAGCAACCTGATTACGAAACCCTGAATCTTGATTAAGGTTCGTTATATGGACCCTAATTTAAAATATTGGAGTTATGGGCTAATAGGGCCAGGGTTCTTAATCAGATCCCTACGTTATGCAAATACTCGCGGACACCTTCTTGGTCCGAGAGGCGTCGCCGCCTCGTGGCGTCGTCCTTGGAGGCTTCGGGCCGGAGGGTCTTGGGGATCGGGTTTAACGTCCATGATCAGGGTCCAGCGTTTAGGGTTTAGGCCGTTTCGGCCTTGGAGCGTTTAGGGTTTAGGGGGTTTAGGGTTTAGGGTTTAGTAGGGGTTTCGGTGTCGGATAGATGATCTAACATCGAGGGTCTAGAGTTCGGAGCCCGGGACTCTAATCAATGGCCTTGGGTTCAGGCTTCAGGGGTTTGGGGTTTCGGGCCTCAGGGCACAAGCTTCAACACAGAAATTGCAGATGTATGCACTTTAATTTTCCTAAACAATAAATCAAGAATAATTATGTAGACACTGATCAAGCCCTCTTCCTTTGAACCTCATTCATATTGGGATCGATTGGGATCGATATTGTGATCTCTTCAGCTGAGGCCAAAAATTACCAAACCCTGAACCCCCAAACCAAGCCCTGCCTAAACATTCCTGACCGGAACTCCTACGGCTACTGGGCCCCGGACGGCGGGTCACTGTGCCCTGGACACAAACCTCCCGGTTGTAGTCGACCTGCGCTCTTAGGACTTAGGGTTTTAGGGTTTATGAGGCCTTAAATTGTTTTCCGTTGCCTCTGTTCCTGCTATACTGTAGGTTCCGGGTGTGAGGCTGTAGTGCTTAGGGTGTTTTTTGTTCTCCAATGGTGTTTCGGGCCAAATTTGTCCGAAGCCACATGTCACATGCCTATACCATGGCCCAAGTTCAAAGCTCTCTCTGCTTTTTCTCACGTCCTTTAGCCACTTTAGCCTAAACCCTCAAGCCCCGTGAACCCTGCAAAGAGCAGAGCTACGAATAATGACCCGCCTCTCCACAGCGAAGAGCTGCCAAGCATTGTGCAGCAGTGGTATCCGTCAGCATCTGCCCAGAACCCTAATGTATATCCTTGATGAAAGGATTAAAGCAAAACCTTCGTTCGAACGCCTTAGTACGTCTTAGGTTCCCGGAGCTGATAATTCAGGGGTCTACAATCTGCCTCGAAACCTAAGCTCTAGGGTTCCTGGTTGAGGGCGTATGATCCAAGAGAGATCAACACTGCTATCGAATTCCGGGAATTGGTGTGCCTTTTGATTCTACCGTCAGTAAATCTTGCAGTACTCTACCCCTTCCTCTCATGCAGCCACCCATGTGCAAGTCCAAGGCTTGCAGCTTTCTGGATTTTTCAGTTGTGGCAGAGGAGTAGTTGAGGGCCTCATGTCGCTCCTAGTGGCGAAAAAACGTCATCACTGCGCTGAAAGCGCGAGGACGATTAAGGATTCGGCATTTGTGGACTGCATCGCCTTCGCATTCCAAGACTGACGGTTTGGGAATGAGCATGAGCTCAGACTCTGCTTCTTCAGGGTGAGGCTTACAGGCCTTAGGAGCTACTCCAAAGCCTTAAACTGGAGCCAGACATGTGGAGACTGAAACCACTGAGACCCCAGTGCTCTGATAAGGGGTGCTCTCTGCCTTTTCCACTCCTGCCTGATCTTTCGAGCAAGTAAGAACCCATGAAGCCCACAGCTGAGGGCTTTTGGCCTTGGCGCTTTCGGGTTCAGGGTAATAGGGCTTCAGTAGGGAGAGAAAGGCTCTAGTATTGTGGAAGTGCCTCTGATATTTGAACCCCTTGGGTCTACTGGCTTGATACGTATGGAACAGATCTCACGGAAAAGTGGGCTCCCAATGGTAAGATCCAGTCTCTCGAAATACAACATTGGTGTCAGAGACTGGGTCCAGGGCCTTTGGGTTTGTCGAAATCTGTGCCCGAAACTTAGGGTTTAGGCCTCGGGAAGGCCCTGAGGCCCTAGCCCTGAGGCCCTAAACCCTAACCCTAAACCAATACCTTTTCAGGGTTTAGGGTTTATGTAGGGTTTATAGGGTTCAGGGAAACCCCAAAGCCCAAAGCCTGAACCCCAACTCTCACCTGTAGGACATTTCATGCCTGGAGCCCCACCAGTGCTGACGATGATTGCCGCGCTTTGAAATGCAGGGGGGAAAATTGGGGATCAGTTTAGGGCTTATACAGGGGCTTTAGGGTTTTAGGGTTTAGGGTACAGGGCAGACTTTGGCGAAGCTTGGTGCTACATCGCGGGCCGCCTCGACTTCGCGTTCGAAGCCGGAATAAAGAGTCAAGAGAAATAATCTGATATATACCCAAAAACTCTGCTCTGGTTACTAAGCTTCATACTTGCAAAGGCCCCTACATTCGGGCCGTTAGGGAGGGAACGCCTCGGACTGGATCCACGCAAGCCCGGCTCAGAGCATTTTGGCATCACCTGGACTGGACTTCAAGGGCTGATCGACCTTCAATATGCAATATAAGATATATATATATATATGTTTTCTATACACACATATTATATATATATATATTGGTAAAAAGAAATTGAAGATAAAGTACATAATGCATAATCTACTAACGTACAATATAGGCATATAGGAGATACCACTCTCCCGGGTAAGCGGGGCGAGGCGATTTGGGGGTAGGGCTTTACGATTCAGCTTGAATTGCCTGCTGCCTGAGACCTTCCAGCCCGCCCGAAAGCCTCTGTGTTGAAAAGAGGGCCTTTATCCCCCAATAGATACTGAGCCTCGCGGGTCCTCAACATCGACGGCCGAAAGCTCATCATCACTTCGAGGGCTGTTCTAACTCCGTCATGTTGATATCTGCTAACCCTGCTGTCCCCTAAACCCTAAACCCTGAACCCCCCGGGATCCAGGACCATGAACCCAAAGCTGCCAAACCCCTGCGCCCTCAGGCCTTTCACATCAAACTCATCAAAAACCCGGCCTCAACAAACGAAACAAAAACCTGCCAACACCCTAAACCCAAAAGCCCCAAACGTGTCAGCGCCTAAAGCCCTAAGCCCCTAATCTCGGGGCCCTAATTTTAAATAGAGTTTTGATGCATGTTGTATTGTAAGATAACGATATAGGGACTATACAGGAATATCACTTACGTTTTTTCAGACACCTCATTAAAGACCCTAAACCAGAAAGCCCTCTAAAGCTGCTTTTATAGGCCCGGGTGCTGCAGAGATTTCAGTGAGGCCATCAGCTCCTCCACGGAGGCTCCCTGGCACCAGAGAATGCGAAACCACTCATAGGGTTAGGGCTTCAGGATTTCTGGGCTTGGGGCTTCTTGTTTTAGGACCAAAAGCCCTACATCGTGTCCCAAACAACAGAAAGCCTCAATCACTGACAGAGGCTTAAATTCCTGTTCATAAGGCCCGAAAATGTTTCTTGCAGACCCCAAACGTTTGACAAATACTTTTTCCTCTATTTACAATACAATAGCGTACACCAAAACCCTATTATAGTCATCTTCAAGGCCCCTGAATAAAGTCATATAAAACTGGATTTATAAAACTCGATTAAACAAAACAAGGCGTAAAGCCTCTGTGTGTGTGTCTCCCTCTCTCTCTCTCTATGGAAGCCCTGAGTTTTAAGATGGTTCCTGAATTCCGTGTTTGGGAGCCGTTCTGACGGCTGAACGGTTCGTTTGAGGGATAAAGGGTTGAAATTTAAGGGCTTGGTTTTAAGGCCTCAGGAATCTCGGTTGTTGGGTGCATGTTCAAGGGATCAAGGTTCGGGGCTTTGGGGATTGAGGGCAAGGTTTATTCGGCCACTGAGTCGAGAGGTTTCGGGTTTGGGGCCTCTTGTTTTGGATGCAGAGTTTAAGTCGCAGCAAGCCACTGAAGGCCCAATTCACCCGCCGAAAATCGGGAGTCACCATGGCCTTGGTGTCCACAACTTCCTCCTTCTCCTCCTCCTCTTCGGAGGCCTTCGGTGTTTCGGAGTTAGCTGTATAACGAGGAATTACTTGTTGAGGAAGCTGTTTCCGGTTTAGGGCTTTGTGCTTCAGCCTTGAAGTTTGGGGCATTCAGGGGCTTTGTTTGGGGTTCGGGGCGTCGGGCTCAAGGTTCAAGCAGGATGGAGCTAAGCATAGTCAAACAAGACTTCCCACTAGCATCACTTGTGGAAGCAGCAGAAAGAAGTAGCTGTACGTACGGGTGCAGGCAGCCGCGCGCAGCTCCCGCAGCAAAACGAACATAAAAGGAACATGGGCTGCGTCACCGCGTGACAGGCGCCCTTAAGCATGCCAAAAGATGCTCAAAGTGGGCAATTTGCGAGCGGCGTCCACCGCCCACACTGCGCGCAAGCATCCTGCCCCAGGCCCTCCCTTGTCAACCTGAGCACACCACGGCAGGCCCACACCAGGGACTGTCTATCAGCCCCCTTGACACCACCGCGGCGCCCGGGGTGACCACACCAGGAGCCCAAGCGAGGAGAACAGGAGGTACAAGGCAATTACGTCTCCAGCTCGGCGCGCCGCCGCAGGGCGGCGCGGGCACGGAAAGAGCGCACAACGATTCGTACAGGGGGCCTGGCTCCGCGCCACTGCGGGCAGCAACCGCCCCGGCAATCTGCTTGAGGACGCGGCTAGCGCCAGCTTCCCAATGCCCGGTCGTTTCAACAACCAAGGGCACGAACTGGACTCCGGATGGAGTGTTCCGTGAAGCATCAAGGGTCCAAGAACGACTTGCTGTTGAAAGCTCTGTGCCTGTCCTTACCTCTTCAACCACCAGGGCTGTTTCGATAAGCCCTCAACATATTCCGTTCCGTGGACTGCTGGGGAGCTGAGGCTTAGGGCTTCAAGCCTGCACTTAGTGCTTGGCTTTTGGTCTGAGGCGCTTCTGCTTCTGGTGGTTGGGGTGTTGGTTCAGGGTTCAGAGTTCTGTGCCCTGTACTCCGTAACTTAAGCCCTAAATGCGCTAAATACCCGGAACCTAAACCCTAAACTCTCCAAAGCCCAAGTGCCCTAAATACCCGGGAACCTAAACCCAAAACTCTCCAAGCCCTAAGTGCCCTAAATACGCTGGAGCCTAGTCCCTAAACTCCCCAATGACTCCCCAAACCCTAAGTGCCCCAAATACCCGGGAGCCCAAACCATAAACTCCCAAAGCCAACCCCGGAGCCTAAGCTCTAAACTCCCCAAACCCTGAGTGCCCTAAATACCCCGGAGCCTAAACCCTAAACTGGCCAAGCCCTAAGTGCCCTCAACCCCCGGAGCCTAAGACCTAAACTCCCCAAGCCCCAAGTGCCCCAAATAGCCCGGAGCCTAAACCTAAACTCCCTAAACCTCAGAACCTTGAAGCCGGCATAAGCCGAGGCAGCTGCCGCACAGCCATCGGAGTCCTCGATGACGATGCCCCACTCGTTGTCCGGGTGCAACTGAAGACTTCCGCAGAATCGGGTTTGGGTTTAGGGCTTTTTGTTTTTGAATTCAGAGCAGCTTGGTGTCTAAGGCTTACGACGAGTTCCAGGGTTCTAGTTATTCTGGACTAGGTTGCAGTGCTTTTTAGTGTTCGGGGTTCGGGACGGATGATATCTGCAGTGCATAAGGCAGCACCTGCGTTCACAGTACGCCCTGCATGCGTCGGGAAACATGCTATCGAGGATTCAGCGGTCTACGGTACAATATGTACAGAGCCTGAATGGCTAGTATATGCTATTCCCCCTGTAGACCCTGTGCAGTAGTAATTATAAATTATACGTAAACGCCCCGCTCATGCAGCATGTCAACGGTTTCGGAATGATGTATTTAGGATAACCTGCAACTGTAACCCCAAACCACACGGAAAAGCAGGTTTTGAACCCTTAATAATGGGATAATAGGGTATGATCCGTACTTAACCTAGATTATGTTGCCACAGGTGGGGACTCAGCTTTGGGTTTAATCAGTCAGAGAATGAAACTCAGAGCCCTGCATTCAACACATCACAAGACCCACAAGACCTGAAAGCCCTATGAAGCCAAATGCCGGCAGCTTCAAGCGAAGAAGCCCCAACGCCCGCAAGGAACTCGATGACAACTTTAACCCCCAGATCCTCGGCGTTGGAGTCGTCCTTCTTCTCAGTCTCCTCTCGCTGCGACATGGTATGAACTGACTCTGACCCTTTCAACAGCAACAACAACTACTGCAAATCCTAGCCCTAGTCCTCCTCCTCCACCTCCTCCACATCTACGACGACAACTGCGACTCGCGACTGCGAGGACGACGACTTCGAAGACTGGCGCGACTAGTAGTGACGACTTTGCGAAGTGCGAAGCCATGAACTCGTCTCGCCCCCGCATGGCCGCACGCATGCTCTCCTCTTCTCTTTTCAGGGTTTACGGTTTGGGTCTTACGGTTTAGGGAGTGGGATGTAGGGCGAATCGAAAAGGCTGGCAGTCTGCACTCAGAGAGAGGCTTTGCAGCTTGGGTGGATGGTTCGACCTGCCTTGCAACCGCCCTGTGAGTCAACGTCCAATGCAAGTATGGCTCATAGAATTCTGGGTAGCTTGGGTTCTTTCTTGGGGCGATCGACATAAACAGGAAGCAATGCACTCGATGCCGAAGTACGCACCCGGCCTTCAGCCATCAGGCATGAATGCGATGGAAAACAGCATCAAACGCTGCGAGGCTCCAACAAAAACAATCTTTCACAGGACCTTTGGGGTGTCCGTGACCGGACAGCAAAAGGGGAGGTCACGAAATCATATCAATGGATCTGTTGCGTCTGCGGAAGTTCCGGAAAGCAAGGCACCCTAAAAGCCAACAGGATCCCGAAGATAAGGACCTTAACAAGGGAGGGACCCTTGAAGCGAAAGAAACCTTCATTCTGAACCACAGCGTCCTCTAGGAGGTTGTACTTCCGCATCATCTCCTTGCGCAGCTCTCTCTCATATGCTGGGGCTGGTGCTACGGCTCGCTTTGCCAGCTGACTGGCGCGAGATTGACAATGCCAAGTCTGAAATTCAGACTCTGAAAACCCTAAGCACAGAAGGAATCAGAAAGCCTGAACCCCAAGCTCAACCCTGAACCCTGGACTTGTGCTATCTGCAATGCACAATTAAGACTCAACAGCCAGTGATGGGCGCTAGAGTCTTAGGGTGTAGCAGGCTTTCTATAGTACAACTTCAAAGCCCTTATAGAATCGTGCACAGGCCTACATAATTCAATAATGCGAGCAGTTTTAGTCTCTGAGGCTTGGCAGGTTTCTGCGAAGTACGCAGACTCAGAGCTCACCCTCTCTCCTCGGGGTGCTCCGCCCACTCCTGCTGCCGCAGCCTTAGCACTTTATCATTGGTAGCATTTGCGTTTGGATCTTTTGCCCTGCTGATTGCCGTTGCGATTCATCTGTGATTACGATTATGATTACGATTTCTGAATATGCTCATGACCATGTTCATAATCGTGATCAGGACCAGTATTGCTGTGAACATAGTTCTGAATATCATATTTCTATTCAATAGACTAATATTACGATTGCTACCCTCACTAATTACTTGTTGCGAGTGTTGTTAACTAGTACTTGTTACTCGTAGTTCTTACTATTGTTGTTGCTGTTACTGGCAGTGCTACTGTTAGAGTTACTGCTGCCGTTGTCGTTTTTTAGGGTGCTGGGTTCTTCAGAAGAAGGATATGACTCCATTCATGCGGCCTAACTTTGGCCTTGGGGTGCCTTTTATATTTTCTTGGCCAGCCAGTTTGGGAACCCGGTGGCATCCAGCACGGGCATCAAGAATCCTTACTTGGGTCGAGGCATTGCCTGGCAGTGATTGTTTCTTGGGGTTTGGAGGTTCCGCCCTTGCCCGAAGCAACCGGAGTGTCGCAGAACCCCTTGCTCCTGTGCCTGTGCCATAGGACACAGATTCCTACACCGCCGGGCCCTCAACACTGGGCTGCCCTGCGAATCTCCAAAACCCCAAAGTCTTAAAGTAACTCCACGGTCCACCATCCTCAAATCCACGCAGGCCCGAGCCCCAAGCTCGAACAACTTGACCCTTGACCCCCAGAACTTGAACTCCGAGCCTGCAGTGTCGGTTGCCGCACTCCGGGTTAGGCGTCATGCTGTACCTGGCACTCAAAGTCCGGGGGGAGCTTAGGGTTTTTCGGCTTTAAGGGTCTGGGGCGTTTTGGGGGCCCTGAGAGCCTCAGACTCAAGAAGCCGGGAACGACTCTGCAACGAAATCACGGATCAAAGGGGCCCGAACGGGGCTTTCGGATCTAGGCTGGCATCTTAGGGTCTCGTAGGGTTCGGGTTGAGGGTTCGGAAAGATTGTAGTCACTGAGGGTGTCGGCAGAAAAAGACTCGGTGCTGCGCCGGATTGGCCAACCTCGGGCATTCAAGCCCTTCACACCGCACGGCCAGGGCCCGTCCTCCTACACAACCCCATACCCCCATACCCCCAATGAAAAGATCGGCAAGACAGCCTAGGTTGAGCAACTATATGTCGGAAAAGACAATACTCTTTCAAGGGGGAACCTTCGAGTTCTAACTTTTAGACTAGTGCTTGACCCGGAACATCCCGGAACCCCACATGGGCTTCCTCCAGTGCACTCGAATGCCCCCTGCCCCCCTACTTCGGCATCCTCAAGCATCCCATGCTGCGCAGCAGGGAAAAGTCCTGAGCCATGTTTCTATTCACACTGGGTCCCAGGTCACGGTTGTGCTAGCTTTGAGACTTATGCATACACTATGGCCGCTGACGCATCATGATCTAAGCCACAACCCCAAAACCCTACCCGAAAGCCCTAAACTCACCCCGAAACCGAAACCCTAAACCCTGCACAGAACCCTAAACCCTGCACACAATCCTAAACTCTACACTCGAAACCCTGGAATCGTAATGCTATTGAATCCAAGAAGTGCCAGCTCGACGAAGGGAAATAATCGCCGAGGGCGTCGTAGCCCAAGAAGTTCGAGACCTGACGGTGTCTGGGGAATTCTAGGGGTAGGGTTTATAGCTTGGGGTTTAGAGCTTAAGGCTGCGGGCTTGCGATTGTCTGGCCGATCGAGCAGCCAACAAAAAGCCCGATACATCTGGGGCAGGGTTTCATAAACAGAGGTTTAAGGGTTTAGGGTTTCAGGCGAACAAAAGCACTTAGTTTAGTATAGGCTCCCTCCTTTTCGCCCAAAGAAAGCCACCGGTGGGGCCCTAAGCTCGAAACCTCAAACCCTCAACCCATGCTCTTCAGCATACCCCTCGGCACCAACCACCAAGCCCCAAAGCTCTGAACCCCTCAACCCTGGATCCTAAAGCCTACACCTTCCCGCAACCCAAACCTCTGCACCCCAAGCCTGCACACCCCGTATGTTAAGACCCTCATCCGGAAGGAACCCCAAACCCATAATAGAAAGGGCTTAGGAATCCACATCTCTCTCAAGAAGAGCGCGGTTTAGGCTATTGAATCGTATGTACGAGCGGCACCACCAAGGCCCGTGCGGTGCCGAACTTCAGAAGGTGCTTCAGGGTGGCCTCTTAAGAGATTATGGGGGTGAGGACAAAGGGTTTTAGGTTGGTATCTTCCCTAGTATAATGCCAAGGCGCGAGAAAACCTTCAGAATGCTGTTGCGGTTTATGTAGGGCTTATCGTTTAGAGGTTATCGGCTGGGTGGTTTGGTTGAAATTTCTTGGTGGCTGAGCTAGCCACTAGCCAGTTTAGCGGGTTGAAGCCCGCACCTGAACTTCTCGTCTGGGCCCCTTTTGTGAGCCAGGGCTGTTCAGAGTGACGGCTCTTGTGGTCGTGAGATTTCGGCGGTCGGGGTTCTGAGGATTTCGGGTTCAAGGTCCTGGGTTCTTGGGCTTGGTATTGAGATTCACGGTTTAGTATCGGCTCAGGCGCATCCTTCCTGCAAGAATTGAAGCTGCGGTGTCGGCGCACTGCAGAACACGAGTACTGAAATGAGTCTTAAACCTCGAACTTTAAATGTACCCCAAAACCTAAAAGCCTAACCGTTGAATGTCGAGCACTCTCGTCGCAGGCACTTCTCCCCAAGACTGTAGCTCCCAAGTTCTCAAACAGGGCCCGTGAATGATAATTACTCTGATTCCTTAACTCTCTCACTTCCACATTTGCACGAATCACAAACCCACATGCCTTAACCTACAGCCCCTTGGCGACGTCAATATACACCATTATTATTGACCCTTCTTGTTTGGCTAAAGTAAAAGACGGTCAAGACATACATGGTCATAATCCCTTGCGTCTATGTTACGTTGATAGAATGCAACGCACATCACGGTGAAGCCAATCTCTCACGACGAGTCATACTTTGCCCTGCCAGACTCCGAATATCTTGGAAGAGTTACACTGTGCTGAGCCTAGTCTGCCCAAACAGAAGATTTGTCAAAGGGTTTGTTAGGACCTCATAAAAGCCTTTCAGGATTTGACTAGGGCCAAAGAACCCGAAGAAACATAAGGATCACACAATTACGGTCTCTGTGCCCAAACGGGTTTAGGGCTTAGTGTTTAAGCCCCGAGCCATCCATCCAGGGTCCAAGCAAGCACACACACACACACTCACTCGCATGTTGCACGATATCCTTACTGCCTGGGCTCGTTATCAGGCAGTCATATGATAAGTCCCTATCTTAAGCTGAAATACTACGTACCTTGATTCTTGTGGATAGCTTTCTTGGGCCCCTAGCCATTGCCCCACAGCCTGGGCCAAAAGGCCAGCGGTGATGCCCATGGTGGTCGGCAGGGATGCAGCGCACACGCCCTCTGCAAGGAGCCGTGAGGATTTAGGGCAGCTCAGGGTGTTTAGGGTGCTATAGAGGTAGTTCAAGGGGTAATCCATCTGTATTCCCCTGTCTATATATATATATATATGCAGAGAGAGAGAGAGAGTGAGTTTACTATAAGGATACTAGACAGGGTACGAAAAGCGTACTGTAACCGTCATTAGGTTTAGGGTTCAGGTTTTACGGTCTGGGAGTCGCATGAGCTTTTCTCCGCAAGTCCCGAACCCAGAGACTCCAATGTCCCTTGATCAGGACTCGCTCGGGGATCCTTGTATGCGGGGTTTAGGGCTAAAGCGTTATGGGTTTGGGGTTCAGGGGTTTAGGGTTTGTAAATGGCGTTCACACAAGGTTTAGGGCTAAACGGGGTCTTAGGATGAGACTACCAAGGATCCGAATCCTGATGTAAGGATCATTTTCTGGGAGCGAGTGGGCATTTGCAATAAGCCTCCTGCTGTTACCGGTCTGTGGCGCGTGGTTCTCTGATTTTCTGACGGTCCCACAGGCTTCACAGAGAAAGCGGAGCCTAGCAAGACAAGCAAAACCACCTGAAACCCTCTGGCCCCCTCAACCTAACACGTCTTAGACCCCCCATGAAGCCCATTCTGTAAAACCCAAAGTCATGCTTCCGACAGACGAAAAGTCAAGCGACGTTCACCAGAACACCCAACATCTCAGACTCACCTACAAAGACCAAAACCCGAAACCCTAAGCCCGAAAACCTATACTCGAAGAGGGGCTTTAGGGTCCGAAAACGCCCCCCCCATAAAGCCCTAAACCCGAAGCCGTGTAAGAGCCGTCGAGAAATGCAAAAACACTGAGACAGTGAACCTAACTATGCACGAGTTTCGTAGAAGTATGGGTACTGTTATCAACATCATGATAAGTCGTACTAAATGACATGTAGACAAAATGTCTGCATCGTGATGAACAGTGGTATCAGAACAAGACTACTGTAGTAGTAGTAGTAGTAGTAGTAGTAGTAGCAGTAGTAGCAGTAGTAGTAGTAGTAGTAGTAGTAGTAGTAGTAGTAGTAGTCGAGTTGTCGTGATTGTAGTGGTAGCGGTAGCAGTAGTAGTGGTAGTAGTTATAGTGGTAGCAGCAGTAGTAGTCGTCGTCGTCGTGGTCGTGGCCGTGGTAGTGGTAGCAGCAGCAGTAGTAGCAGTCGTTGTCATCGTCGTCGTAGCAACTGCACAAATCCGGCCTCCCGTTTGATGGCATTCTCGTCACCTCCGCCTGCTACGACGGCGGGTGGCGCACACTCAAAGCAGGCATACCTGCAGGACAAACGACGGCAGGTTCAGGCTGCACAGCGTTGAGGGGGGGTTTAGGGGTTTTGCTCAAGGGTTCCGTTTAAGGTCAAGGCGTGGAGAGTTAATGCGGTGGCTTGAATTGTCCAAGCAATGCTAGGGAGCCCTAGGAAGCAAAGGGCTTCTACAAAGGCTTAGAATTCATGGTTCAAGTGACTTCTGAAACCCTAAAACTCCCAAATAAATATCCATGCCGCATGTCTCAAGTGTATCCTCTAAACCCTTAGACAGCTAAATACTACAACCCCAAACGGGGTTAGAGGTGAGTCCAGATGCCAAGAACTACCAAAAACTTGCAAACTCACGCTCTCGCAATGCCATGCTCCGGTCTTAGGTGTTACAGGCAAAGCCTCAACACCCACCCTTCTCCGTCTATGTGTATGTTTAATGCAAACTAATACATATTATATAGTATAATATATTAAAATATAGTATAATATTGGAAAATTTTATATGATACTAATATAAGCCAAAAAGAAATATACCATGGTATTATATTATAAAAATAAAAACATGTAATAAAAATATAAAATAACAAATAATGCAATATAATAAAACATAAAAGATTATAAAACAAAGCAATATAACAGAACATATAATATCATGCAATACCATGAAATATAATATCATATAGTATAATCTAATCTAATCTAATAAGGTAGAATATGATGAAAACAAGTACAATATAATACACGATAACATAATATCAAATATTTCATATAATATATGATATATTGGATATATTGTATATAACAATATATAATATCAAATATGATAAGTGTGTTATAGAATATAACATAATAGACCACAACATGTTATAAAATATAATCTAACATGATAAAATAGATACGTTGTTGTTGTTGTTGTTGGTGTTGGTGTTGGTGTTGGTGTTGTTGTTGTCGTTGTTGGTGGTGTCGTTGCTGTTGTTGGTGGTGGTGTTGTTGTTGGTGTTCGGTGTTGTTGGTGTATTCGGGCAAAGATCTGCTTGGAGTCGGCGCACGCCACATCAACCACAGCACGGACATCCAGAAAAACACAGTGGCTCGACACTGGCAGACCTATGACCTCAACGCCCGGCCACGAACGGTGCGAAGGGAAAAAGAAGAACCATGGGTCGCCGACCTTTCAAAAGGCCTAAAGACTAACACAAGTATTCTGCTAGGTACTTCTTTGGTGGCCAGCCTTGGCCTAACCTGTGACAGCGATGACATGCACTACACTCGTGTCGTTTGGTTTGGGGTTTAGCGTTTAAAGTTTAGGGTTTCAGGGTTTAGGGTTTAGGGTTTTGGCCTGAGGTTTTCGGTCGAAGGGTTTAGGGTTTTGGGGTTTGGGCCTTAGGAT